ACCCCACTCGCTCCCGGTGACATTAGGCACTGCCTCATTTGGACTGGAAATAATATAACTGTCCGAAAAGTTACTTGTTCTAGAAAAGTTTGTTCTTTTCTGCACGAAACATCTTTGTTCATGTAAAGAATATTTTCTCCTTATACACTGTGATCTTCAAAGTCATTGTCATTGCTTTTTGTAAATAGTAACAAGGATTGTAAATAAAGATATAGTGACAATGTATGCTGGAATGATCTCTTGTGCAGAGACTACCAAGTTCACTTTTTGGAAAACTTAAAGATAATTAGATGACACTGGTTTCTCTTGACAACAAGAAAAGTAATTATATTTCAATAGTTAGTTGCTTGCAGTAGTATTGCATAACTGATCAAAATCTTAAGTGCTCAAATTCACAAGATATGTTTACTGGCAACTTATAACATTAACAGCAGGATCATAAGCTCACACATCGCCATAGCTCACACTTTTCCTGTGGCCTGTGGTGCCTTCAACAGTTCCTTAGGTTTGATTCGACATTAGAAGTATATTGATTTTGCACCTACCCATATAAAAATATACAGGCAAATGAAACTGCATTAATTTACAATATGTAAAAAGAAATTAGAAAGAATAGATAAATTAGAAGATGAATAGGCAGTCATCCATGTAGCCTGCTCGAAGCCGGTGTTTAGTCCAAATTGTTTATTTTAATTTGAGCAATTCATAGATATTTTTTGTTTATACTCAACCAGAAGGGCTAACTAAACAACTCAAGTTGTCCAAATCTTTACTCTTGGGCCAAAGAATGGAAAAAACCAAAATTCTAAAAAAAATTACGCTAAAAGTTTTAGATTCAATCCTTTTTGTAAGTAAATATCTCTATCTACCTTTTTCCAGTTTTGCCAAATGGCATTATCAGAAAAGTATATGTGAGCAACTTCACTTGACATGTATTTCATATTCTTCAACAACCAAAACAACGAATTCTTTTATGAAAACTTCAGATCTTCCCATATGGTGAACAAGAAAGGTTTCTTCCTGCAAAGTTATGCATGTCAGCTGAGCATCTTCTTATTTGATCAGAGAAAATGACTTACTTGTCATCCATAAATATGGCCTGTTGAAATTTCTTGGTTTGATTGGTGGTGTATTTAACTATCCCACAGTTTGTGGCCACTGGCAGCATATCTGTTGTTATAAATAACAGAAGAAATGTTCTCAGTCCCTTTGAGCTCTCAAATCTTAATTCATATTCCTAAAGCCAGCAATAACAACAATAACTATCCTCGCTCCCAAGCTAGTCGAATCAGCGATATGAATCTTCATTCCGTTTGAACACCTCTTATCCCTTAATCAACAACAATAACAATAAATATCCTTATTCCGAAGCTAGTCGGGTTGACTGTATGAATCTTCACTCCGTTTGAACGCCTCTTATTCCTTAAGACAAGAAAAATTGCAGACAAGAAAAATTGCTGAACCTAAAATTCACCATTAGTAAATGTTTCTACTTCTGGTACAGAAACTAAAAATTACTCTGTGATAATCAAGAATAGTTCTGTTCACGATAAGATAAAGTAAAAATTAAAAATTAATTCCCTCCGTCCTAAAAGAACAACGGAATTTGGAGTATAAATAACAACGCATCTAAGTATCTGTTCCAACTAAAGGTAGTTGTAATTTCCTAGCTTTTCACCGTTAAAGATTATATCGTAAGCAAACAGGGGAAGAAAAAATTTGCAACAAACTCCTGGATAGCAATTAAAAGCTGCCGAAGCCACTGCAGTCCATTAACCCCGGCACAGAAATCTAAAGGAGGAGATAAAAGAGGAAGCAAGAAGTACTCACTTATAGATAGCAGAAAAGCGAAGCCGGAAAGACTAAGAGGAAACCCAAGCGGCAATG